ATTCCGCCGAACATCTGTCCTGACCCCTCCCGGGGTCGAAATTGGCCAGTGTGTCAGGCCGCGTCGGGCGCCGGTTTCTACCACCTGCTGCGAGCCGGAACCAGGTGCTGGGCCACCTCACCCCCCCGGCCGGCTCCGACCCCAGGGGAAGTCTCGGGGTCCAGGACTCGAGTGGGGGATCAACTTCAACATTGATTCATCCCTAGATCGATCTGTTCGTCGAAGACGGAAAAATATAATGTCCGTAGATATTTGAAAATTGTACGCATGTGTCGCACATTCGACAAACGAATAATATCAGCCAGCGTTGACTCCTAATAGATAGGAGGACAGGAGGAGGACGCCAGGAGGACGAGAGGAGGACGAAAGGAGGACGGGAGCAGGACGGGAGGAGGACGGGAGGAGCAAAATCAAGCAAGAGCAAGCAAGCAAGCGCAAGCAAGCAAGCGCAAGCGAGCAATAACAAGCAAGCAAGAGCCAGCGATCAAGTGCAAGCAAGCAAGGGCAAGCAAGAACAAGCAAGCGAGAGCAAGCACTAAAGAGCAAGCAAGCAAGTGCCATTGGAAAAAGGGGGGGGCATTGGAAAAAGGGGGGGAGGGCCATTGGAAAAGGGGGGGGGTCCCAAAGACCCATTACATATGATGAGCTAGGACTCCTATAGGACAAGCCTACTTGGAGAATCTCGGGATCGATCAGTCCCGTGAGCGACCTCCTGCTCGGAGGACGCTGCTCCCTCAGGACCCCCTCTTCGCCCCTGCCGAGCCAGCAAGCAAGTGCCACTGGAAAACAAGGGGGGGCCATTGGAAAAAGGGGGGGAGGGCCATTGGAAAAAAGGGAGGGGGGTCCCAAAGACCACTTCGTTATGATGAGCCAGGACTCCCATAGGACTCCTTAGGATGATGAGCTAGGACTCCTCAGAGGAACGAGCAGCCTCCCGACCGGCCCCCGGGCTGCGCGGGGGCGCGCCCCGGCGCCCTCGTCGCTCGCCCTGCTCACGTCGGCCCCGCCGTCGCCCGCCGACGGCCCGGCACCTGCGACGCGCCGCGGCGGCTCTGCTCTGCTCCGGGCCGCGGCCGCAGGGGCTCCCCGACCCCCCCGCGCGCCGTGCCTGGGTCGGCAGCGAGCCCCCGCGGGGGAAAACGCAGGGGGGGCGGGCCTCCTGAGACGGCTCGGGCCTCCCGCCTTTGTTTGAGCCTTCTCCGAAGACTCAGGTCGGGCGTGTCCCCCCACAGGCGGATCGTGGGCGGAGAATTATAGATATATATATATATATATATATATATATATATATAACCAAAAAACAAAGAAAATAATAATAATAATAATAATTATAACAATAATAATATTTATTATATAAGAAAAAGAGAGAGAGAGAGAGAGAGAGAGAGAGAGAGAGAGAACAAAAAAAAAGGGGGGGAACGCAGGGGGGGCGGGCCTCCTGAGGGAGCTCCCGCACAAGGCGAACCCCACCCTCCCCCTCGGGAAATCGTGGGGGGCGGGGGCAGGGTTCACAGATGTGGCCCCCTACCCGGGCCTCCCGCCTGCTGCAAAGCTCTGTGAGCCTCCTCCGAAGACTCGGGTCGAGCGTGTCCCCCCACAGGCGGATCTTGGGCGGAAAATAGACAATATCCCCAAAAAGTACCCCAAAAATGCTCCAAAAGGGTTTTTAAAAAATCGTCTCCGGACTATGCTTTGACTAGTTTCGAGCATTCCCCCTGTGGAGGGACAGGCCCGACTTAACCGAAGACGGAGACGGCATCTCGGAAGACCAGAGGGCTGCTGAGAAGCCCCGCCGCCTCCTGAGAAGGTCTGCCCCCTCTCACTCCCCCCCCCCCGGCCTCGTCGCCGACTGGGGGGGCAGGCCTTCGTCCCAGATCCATTGGTAATGGCCCCGGGCCTCGTGGATGGGCCCCAGGCCTTAAGAGCCGACGTCGCGGAAAACAACTGCGACCTCGTAGAGAAGCACACCCGGAGCCCTAATTATAGACCCCACCTTTCGGCGCCACTTTGCGAGCTGGATCGATCTGTGAGGATCCCCGGGCCCGAAAAAGCCTACGAAAAGCCCGGCTCGAAAAAATGGACGCCAGGATCGCAGGGCTCGAAAAAAGAAATGCCCGGCTCGGAAAAAAAAGCCCGGGCCCGAAAAAAGACTAAAGAAAAACTAAAAAAAGCCCGGCTCGAAAAAATTAGGGCAAAGGAAAGACGCCCGGCCTGATTTCAAGAAATCAGATAGTCGTCGGAGCTCTGGGCTCTCTGCGTGTTGCCCAGCCGCTCCCTCCCGCCCCGCGCCCTTGTGCAGAGGCCTCCCAGATGGGGTCCCCGAGCAGACGGGGTTGGAGGATCGCGCCGCATCGCCAGTGCATCGCCGATGCATCGGCAATGCATCGCCGACGTCGGCAGTGCATCGGCGGCGTCGGCGTTGGGGAAATCAGACCCCGCATCGAGCCGCATCGCCGATGCATCGGCGATGCGGCGCGATCCTCCGACACCATCTACAGCA